CTTCAAAAGGTGTGATGTTGTGGATAGCATGTGTAGACGTTTGTTACAGACCTGAGAACCACAATAAGAAGCGGAAGTGCACCAAGGAGACAGCCACTGGCAACCATTCATCTCTGTTAGAACCGCATGCTACTCCGGCCGCGGGTGGTCTCCCCGGGGTCTTCTACACCAGCCTCGGAGCAGGATCACGTGCGTGAGAACACTGGGGGTCAACAGGAAGTGACCCGCTCGGATTCACACACTTGCTGAGCAGCGGAAATGACTTTCAAGCCAAGGAATGTCCACATCCACGGCCACCTGCTTACTGTCCAGCACTCAGCAGTGGGCGGCGGCCTTCCTGATCAGAGAGGCCCGGGGAAGGAGAAGGGACTGAGGCTGTGGTTCGCAGCGCCGGCGATAAAACGTGCTGGTGGCAGCAAACGTCCCGCACGTGTGGTTAGCGAGCAGTGTCACAGACCCGCCTTCCACGGAGCGGGAACCGTGTGTGTTCACGTGTGCCAGCACACTGGATGGGGCTCGTAGCTTTAAAGGTAACTTTCTGCAGCTTGTGGCTTGAGCAACGACCCGTGGGCTAGCACCATGGCCTTTGCTATCCGACTTCGCCTGCTGTCCACGTTACGCCCTTCTTTGTGCCCAACCGCTGTCTGTAATTATGTTTCTGAGAACTCACACCAGTCTGTCCATAACAGGTCAGAGGATCAAGGCGATGTCCTAGGGTAAAGTTTTAGGGGCATCAGGGAATTTAGAGGCTGAAAGCCAACTAGTTAGGCAACACCACCATTACTGTCTGATCTCAAGATTCTATCCCAGCCTTCCGGAAGTCAGGACAACCCAAACCGAGCCAACAGGCTAGCATAGGACCAAGGGCAGACAGCCCTTGTGCGGCCTGACCCTGCCTGCCGGTGTCACCCCTGCCACGTACGCAGCCGCACCAGGCTCTGGCTTTTCCCTGCCATCACCCATGTCCCTTCATGCCCGCTCAGATCCCAGCAGTCAGATTGCAGCTAAATCCAGTCTGGACACCATTTCCCATTATTACACAAAGACAGCGTCTCCCAGACAGTGGCAAGAAGGAAGTGACTTAGTCAACATGGAACCAAAACTAAAGCCAAGCAATTAGCCAACCAACCAACACAAACAAAAAACATCCACTTTTATACATCTCAGTGGCTAGTTTAACTCCAAGGGACAGCCTTGTGTGAAATCATCTTTCCTCTTTCTCCAGAACCCTTGGCCCGCCTGGCCCTTCGTCAGAGCACTTACTGGAGCCTCTGATGTGTTACACACGTCACTGTAGCCCGCTGCCTGCCGCCACATGCTTTCCAGTCTAAGATCTAAAGGAGCAGGGGCTCTTATCTCCAACAGTGCCTGCACAAGGTGAGACTTCACACACGTACTGTGATTGAAAAGGCACCCGGCACACCCCTTCCTGATGTTTATTTTCAAGGCCACCCCTGAGGTTCACTTTCACCTCATTTAACCTATAAAGGGCAGGTTTGATTCCCAGTCAGGGTACATGCCTGGGTTGCAGGCCATGACCCCCAGCAACCACACATTCATGTTTCTCTCTCTCTCTCTCTCTCTCTCTCTATCTCCCTCCCTTCCCTCTCTAAAAATAAATAAATAAAATCTTAAAAAAAAAAAAACTATAAAGGGAGAGACCCAGGCTGACATGGGGTCTGTACTATTCTCCACTTTTCCCACCCTCCAACATGTATACAGTGAGTGGCCATCACACATTGTTGTCCCATTTCCCGTTATTTGTCATGGTTTCGATTTCCCACATTAGTTTCTCATTAGTTGACCAGCCCTCAGTAGGGATCTGAGCTATTGGAACGTAAGGATCATCTAATCTTGCTAAAGAAAGAAACAAGAATTACGACTAATAGTTATTGAGTGCTTATTATGTACAAAACATCATGCAAGCCCTCTGAGCTCATTACCTAGCTTAACCCACACAACACAGCCATGAGACAGGCAGTGTTACTACTATCCTCCCCACTTTGCAGCGCAGGAAACCGAGGATGAAGAGGTAACGCACCTGATGTAACACGCGTTGTAACTAACAATCCAGCTCTTTCGACAGGAAAGTCTACACTCCTAAGGAAGAAAGGAAGGAGAGAGCAGGCAGAAGGAACTGTATTTGTGTTTTTGCTGAACCATGACAGCTGTATCCAAGAAATTTCAAGTTTTTAAAAGATGATTTTTAAAGACTCTCATTTCAAGGTGAAAAAGTGAGGTTGGGGCTAGAGAGTTTCTGAGTGACAATAACGAAGTTATTATTAATGTCTGCAGTAAAAATAAAAGTGCTCTAGCTTCCTAAGTGTATAGCATTATACCTGCTGCTGAGCAGACTCAGGGTGAAGGTTAGCTGCGTGGTCAGCACAGGCTCCCTAGGGGTCCTTATCGCCCCCTCGCCCTGGCAAGGGAAAAACAGTGCAGCGCCCGCACTTCCGGCCTCCACCGCCCTGGGTGCACCTTTTTTTCCCTTTCAAAAGTGCAACCCAAAGCAGTCTGCCAATGCAAATCGAATTCCTTAGTTAATCTATTGTGTTCTCACCAATGCAAGGAATGGAAACTCAGGCTGTAGAGGAAATAATTGAACTTGGCCTGCATGCCAGGTTCAATGCCAAGGTTCTGGGCTCTGAGGGAGCCCCCATAAGGCCTCCTAGGAAAGCCTGTCAAAGGAAGGAGGTGGACGGGCGGAGTGAAGGGGTGTGAATGGGTGACGGAATGGGAGCAAAAGGTGAAACCACCCAGTTCCCCAGTGTGCCCAGACTTTTGATCTGGAGTGAAGGCTGCTTTCTAGTCTGGGAGAAGCCGCCGTCCCACTGGGCAGGGCTGTACTTCATGAGATGAGGTGAACCGGCTTCCTGGGTTCTTCTGTGCGGAGGGGTGGCTCCTAGCACAGTTTCGACAGGAGTCCTTGCCCTGGTTTTAGCAGTAGGTCCTGACCTTCACAAAACTCCCTTAAAACCTAAGATATTTTTAGTTCAAAAAATGATGTTTTTGAGCACTTTGATAAGAGACGTGGGCTCCTGTCCCTGCTCTAGCCTGATCTGTGGCTGCTTAAGTCGTTTAACCAGCCTGGTCTCCCTTCTACACCTGTGCATGAGGGGACCTGCATTTCATCGTTCCGTGGGCTTGGTAACCGCACCCCAGACAAGCGCCAGCCAGGGCGGTGTACCAGTGGCAGCCGGAAGTCAGGCTCTCCTGGGGACTGCGTCAGTGACGGCACTTCCAGGCTCCATAAAACGATGCCATAGTGTTTTTTTTACTAACTCAGTACTCTGGGTAAGTGATTTCACTTTTCATTTAATGTTTATTACTAATTTGCATCAGTCATGTTGCGTTTGGTGTCTCCACGGTTACTTCTAAAAATGAAACCATGACTACAGGTATATTGTTCACATAGGAAATGCTTGGACTCTGGTCTTGCTTTCTCGGAGCCACGTGCCCAGGTGGACTGGTTGCCCAGAACACGTGAGCTGAAGGTGTCACGGGAGCAGCCCTGACTTTGTACCACGCTGTCAGAACACATGCCTTGTCGGACTGTCCCAGGGAGAGCGGTGCCCAGCTTTCAAATGTAAAAGAAGACGGAAAACCCACCCTTAGAGTATTGCCCAAGGTCAGATGCTGGCTTCTCCACACACTAGTGCGTGCTCTTTTTAGTCAACATACTTGTTTTATTTGTTAAAGGGTAAACTCATTTTACAAATAATAAACATTTTCCAAAAATTCTGACAATGGCATCTGATGAAACTTCAGAAATGTTCTAGATATTTACAATGCATTCCCTACATTTTACACAAATAGATTATGCTCTAATGTTTTTACCTTTAACACCTCTTAAAATATTACCATTTTTTAAAGATTTTGTTTATTTATTTTTTAGAGGTGGAAGGGAGGGAGGGAGAGAGAGAAACATGAATGTGCAGTTGCTGGGGGTCATGGCCTGCAACCCAGGCATGTACCCTGGCTGGGAATCGAACCTGTGACACTTTGGTTCGCAGCCCGCGCTCAATCCACTGAGCTACACCAGCCAGGGCTAAAATATTACCATTTTCTTGTGGGCTCCCTAGAACTTCCTCTGTGTGGATGTTCCATGTTTACCGAAACGGCCCTATTCATAAATGTATAGGCAGCTTTCTATCTGGGGTACGAGAGAGCGGCATGTTACTGAAACTCTTCGCTCACTTGTGCAAATCTGGCAGCAGGATACACTCCTGGAAGAAGAGCTGCTAGGGCCAAGGTTAGGGTGGTTTTCAATTTTGGTAAGTATCACCCACTCAGCCGAGTTATTTCAGCCAGCCTTGATTTCTTCGTGTCTGTAAACAGTGGACATGGTGACTTTCTCCAAGGTTTTGCATCAGGATCGCATGAGATTAAGGTACGTGAAAGCCGAGGACACAGTGAGGAGGCTGTAACTGCATGTTACTCTCCAGCCTACCTTTTACTTCCACAGCTGTGTATGAATCTCACGATGAACTGGAGCGTTGGCCATGAACCCCACAAACGAAACAACTTACGGAAAAAACTGCGCCCTTAAAATTGTACCCATGTTCAACTCCATGGTTGAAGGTAGCTCGTGAAATCTCTGGAGGTCAAATGGAGTATCTTCCAAAGGACACAAATTTGTTACTAATTGTAAATCCCGCTTCCCTAGCCCAGCCAGGTTGCCTTGATTTGACAGTTGCTTCTTTTAACGCACACACGTGCCCGATGATACACACAGAGTGTGCCACACAGAGGCACCGACGACGATCCAGCTTCCTGTCGTGTCTTTTCTTCTTGCGTGGAAATCTGGCTGCTCAGGTTGAAGCATTCATTTATTACTAAAACCTGTAGGTCCAACAAGGAAGACAAATATTGTCACAGAAATGTGGAAAATTTTAGACCTCTCATTTCCAATCCACCTCGGGATGTTGAGTTGTGTCTTTCTCAAACCTCTGGGAGCCGGGAGGCGTTCTTAAATTGATGAAAAGTGCAGAAGGAGGTTAATGGGACACGTGCGAATGAAGCTCCAGGCAGAACCTTCTGGAAGGGCCAGTCGAACCAGGCAGCCATTGCTCCTCTCGGTCCTGGCTGTTTATTTCCCACTCGTTTCCCTCAGCCCAGGGCCCAAGCGGCCCAACAGCACTGCCGACCCGGGCCAAAGGGCCCCGTCGGTCACCGGCCCCGGCCCAGGGGGCGGGGAGGCACCCGCAGCTTCGTGCCCACGCGGCCCCACTCGGGCGGCCGTGTGCGGCGCGGTCGCGAGGGGGCCGGTCGGGGCCCGGGCCCGGCGGGGCGCTCCCCCCGCGCGCGTCCTCCCCGCGCCGAACGTTTCCGCGGGCAGCTCGGCGGGGGCGGGGGCCCCGGCGCAGGCCCGACCGCGCGACGCGACCCCGCGCCGGGACGAAGGGCGCCGGCGGCGCGGCCCGGGGCGGAGGCTCCGGCGGGGGCGGAGAGGAGAGCGGGCGCGGGGGCCGGGCCGGCCCTGGGCACCGGGCGCGCTTCCGCCGGCCGCCGCGCGCGCCGCGGTCCATGGGAGGCTCGGCGGCGGGGGCGGGGGCCGCGCAGCCGGGGAGTTTCAGGAACTGGCGGAGCGGGCGGCGGCCGGAGTCGCCGAGCGCCCACACTCGGGGCCGAGGCGGAGCTGCCGCCGCGCCGGGGCCCAGCCGTAGCTGCCCTCAGCGTCGCCTGCCCGCCTCGGGCCGACCGCGCGGCGCGGGAGAGGAGCCGGCCGTCCCGGGCCGGGGATCCGCCCGCCATGGCCACCAAGGTGAGGGGGGCGCGCGGCGCAGGCCCCGGCGGCCCCTCGGCCCCCGGGCGGCGCGGGGTGGGTCGGGGCCGGGGACGCGGAGGAGGCGGAGGGGCGGGCCCGGGGGTCCCCCAGACCCCGGGCTCGGGTCGCGCGGGGCGAGAGCGTTCGGGACCCGGCTGGAGGTGCGGGAGGGTCGCGGGGCGGGACCCCGGGCGTGAGCGGCGCCGCCTGCAAAGTTTGCGCCGGGGCTGGGGCTGCGGCCGGGCCGAGGGAGGGAAAGTTCCCGCAGCCCCTGCTCGCTGCGAGCAGCCGCCCCGGGCCCCCGCGGGACCCCGATCACGTCCCCAGCGGCGTCCACTCCGCACAGTCCCGCACGCCCGGCCGCCGCGGACAGGCGCGTCCCCTCGGTCGGCCGGGGCTGCGACCCCCACGCGCCGGCCGGTTTGGGGGCCCGACCCCCCGCCGGCGAGCACCGGACGTCTGCAGTTCAGGCCCAGCTCCGGGGGACGGAGTACGCAAATTGAACGCCCCGCGCTTCCATTTGCTTCGTTTTTCTTTTCTTTTCGTTGTTGTTTTTTTCTTTTTGTTTTGCTACCTTTTCAGTTTGAATGGTATTTCCAGCGTGAATAAAATACGAAGTGGGAAATGACTGTGCTTTCAACTACGCGTTTGCCCGAAAAAGGCCCAGGCCCGAATTACGTGGTGGAACTTGGACTCGTGCTTGGGTATTGGCCGGCAGTGGTGTGTTGCTTCCTTTAGGGTATCGCTTGTGGCATTACTGGTCGCTCTCCTCCAGCTGAGTCTGCGGGAGGCACCCTTCCCCGCGCCCGTTCCTGGGCCGTTTTCCGTAGTTCTGGGTGTAAACCGGAGGGAGAAGCCTGGGCGTGAGGACCCCTCCGGCAACTAGTCCTGTGGTTTGATGGGTTGTGATGGATGGATTGACTTTTGCAGGTGGTTTTTGTAATCATAGCTTCTAAACATCAGCACCCTTTTTCGTGTTCCTGTTTGAAATCTCCAAGTTTCTTTTGGGGTGGTGAAAACCTTACTTTCGTTGTTGGGTTTTGGTTGGAGAGATAATATAAGAAAGTGGTAAGAATTTTGAAGTCCCATTGAAAGACCAGATTGGCTGATGTCATTTGTTTAGTTTTGTGCTCAGAAACTATCTAGGTACAGTATTTATATTTTTTTTTAAATGGAGATTATTCTCCAAGGAACCTATTGCCTGCTGTCACTTCTTGTTAAAATATTATTGTCTGTGCTCTTCCTTGGTTTTATCAGACGTGATAGAATTTGCTTCCTTTTCAAAACATGTATAATTTTGTGTTGATTAAAAAAAATAAAATTGAACTCAAGTTAAGGATTTGTAAGGGAATTGATTTTGAGGTTAGTTGCCACACATTTCGGAAATGATGGGTTGCACGGTCTTATTCTATACTCATCCTGCAGCCTTCGGGGCTGTGTGTGGGAGATACCCATTTGGTGGTGGCCAGCGCTGTGGTATTTCTCGTTCTGGACTACAGTGCATGCTTCCGGCACGGCCCTTTCCGTGGGGCCCGGCTTAGCAGCTGGTGCAGGGATCGTTCGTGAAAATTGTACTCGACAGGTGCACCTGAACTTAGTTTTTCCCTAAAATAGAGAACGGTGCTGGTGGTTGTGCTGAACCGGAGTTGCACGTGTCCTCACTGAACTCAAGCCTCAGAGCATGCGTCAGCACTTCCTCCCGGGTGGTCCGCCCGGCTCTGAAGACACAGTCCAGTGACTCTGGCTTTTAGTTTCTGTGATCTTTCTAATCAGCATTCCACATGGGACCCATTTCCGTGTGTGTGTGTGTGGTGACAAACCACTTCCGTTTTTGTTTTTTTGTTTTTTTAAAGGAAGAGCAAGGAAGCACGTAATAAAAAAGAACCCTGACTCAGTTTTCTGGTTTTCCTGCTTTCTGGTGATTCTTGTATCAAACCAAACTCTCCTTTTTTCAGTTGTTCCCAGAGAGTAACGTTGCCCTTGTCCGCTCCCCTGCACCTGCCACCCCCCCCTCGGCCTTTACCAACACCTGAGCGGTTTGGGCTCTGGCCTCCCCTTTTTGTAACTGGGTGTTTGGGGAGAACACACTTCCAGGAACTAGTAGCATCCAGCTGTTTATAAAATTGAACTCACCTGGCACGCAGGCTCTTGCAGTGAGTGACGACAAATAAGCGCAGGGCCTGGATATCTTAGGCCCTGTCGGATTTCCCTTTGAACTTGTCATTGAGAGCGATACAATTTCCTTATATATTGTTCTTGTATGTTTTCTTAAAGAGACACTTCTAACCACCATGATTTAAAAAAAAAACTTTTCTGGTCAGAATAGAAACTGTCTTTGAGAAGAGAAATTTGAATTGGTCAGTTCAGTCAGTCAGTACCTGCATCTTTTAAAGGGGTCGATGGTCTGTCCCCGGGTTCTGATGGACGCCCAGCATGCTGGATTCAACCGTGTCCTCCTCGGGTACCAGTTTGGTCCCTTTTAATGGATTCAGGGAAAGACTAATGCAAGTGGCAGAGTCTTTTGTTCGAAGCCTCAGAAGGGTATGTTCTGACACCATCATATAGTGAACTTAGGTATTATAGTGAACTTAGGGGTAAATTAAATTTTGTTTATTAAATCTTGGGAAAGAAATTTTTTTTGGCCCATAATTATCAGAAGGCACATAAAGAAAATAGTTAATGAGAGCTAATCCGTAGCTGTACAACTTAGTTGTCATTTCCATCTCAAAGTTAACCTTTGGTCACTGACGGATCCTTTTGTGCTTACGTAGTGGCTTTTAGGGGAAACCAATATAACCAGATTCTGAGAGCTCCTCGGGCCTTTTTTTTTTCTTTCAACTTTTCTTTCCAGTTCAAATGTCTAAAGTTACACATTTGCGCTATACTGCTTATGCGGCAGAACTAAGTGGGGATGGAATGTTGAAATTCTGCTAGGAAATCAGTTGCACAGGACTGTGCACGGCAGACATTATGGGGAACAGCGTGGAAAGCAAACTTTGTGGTCTCTCCTGAGCAAAAACCTCTGTCTGGGGGGGGGGAGGGGAGAAAAAAGAACAGAAATGGCTTTCTAAAGAGCATTCAGGGTTAACGTTGGTTTTGAGAGCTTTTTGAAAAAGAGCATGGAAAATGCTAACCTTTTAATTTTTTGTAACAGTAATATTTTTAAAAGACTCTTAGGAGACTATCTGCACGGCTTTTGTCTGGTCAAAGGAAAATTCTGTGACAGTAGGAAGGTAAACCAGTTTCATATTGAACAAGGAGTAGATTAGAAAGCATAAAAATTTCTGTAAAGCTTTCTTCTGCTCCCTGTCTTTATTTTTACTTATTTATGTATTTTTAATCCTCCCCTGAGGATATGTTTATTGATTTTGAGAGAGCTTCTCATATGTACCCTGACTGGGGATTGAACTTGCAACCCTTCGGCGTACAGGACGATGCTCCAACCAGCTGAGTCACTTGCCTAGGGCACTGCTCCCTGTTTCTATATTGACCATTGGAAAATTAAATTACGGTTTTACTTTAATTGCCCACCTAACACTTTCTAACTTGGCATATGCTGCTTTTTATTTTCTGGAATGCTGTTCTCTGACCTTTTCCCCCAGGTGCCTTCTTTTTATACATTCTGTTTCCATGCAAAGCCTCGCTTCCCTCTGGAAAGCATTCCTGATCTGCCTGACCCTTGTGACAGGGTCACACATGTCCCGACTGCCATTTAAGGTGTGTTCCCACGAGCAGGACTTGTCTGCTTTAGGATGCTGTCTGCCCCCGGGGGCTGGTACCGTGTGTTCGCTCACCCTCGCGGGCTCTGTGATCGGCTCGAACGAGGAGGCTCTTGATAAGCTGTTACTACTCAGGGGAACGCTGACTTTTCTTGCCCCCCGGTACCTCTCTCTCCAGTTTGAAATAGCAAAAAGATATTACAGTGAGATAAGTGACTAAGGGAAAACTGTCTCCCACTGTGAGCCTCCATTCATTTCATTGTGCATTGCAGTAAACTTGTTTTTCAGTACACATAGAAAAATACACACCTGTAGCTTAGGTATTAACAATGTTTTTTAAATATAATAATTCACTTTTATTAGTGATTACATGAGAAGTTGGTTCTTATGTTCTAAGGTAATTGGAACAAGCTTCATACTTCTGAAACTTGGAAAAGATTCATCTTAACCCATGAGTTGTTAGAAATGTGCTTAATTTTTTTTGAGTATTTTATTTTTTAAACAGTAGCCTTTTATAAAAAAGGATTTTATTTATTTTATTTTTATACAGAGGGGAAAGGAGGGGAAAAGAGAAGGAGAAAAACATCAATGTGTGTTTGCCTCTTCCATGCCCCCTACAGGGCCCTGGCCGGCAACCCAGGCATGCGCTCTGCCTGGGAATTGACCCCGTGACCCTGTGGTTCCTGGGCCGGTGCTCAGTCCACTGAGCCACACCAGTCAGGGCTGAGTATTTCACTTTTTAAATAATTTTTAAATTTTTCAATTATAGTTCACATACAGCACCGTATTAATTTCAGGTGTACAGCGTAGTAATTAGACATTTCAACAACTTACAGAGTGACCACCCGATAAACCTAGTACCCATTTGACACCATGCACAGTCGCTGCAATATTACTGACTACATTCCCGACACTGTACTTTACACCCCCAAGGCTGTTCGTTAATGACCAGTTTGTACTGCGTCGTCCCACTCGCGCTCCCCCAGCCTCCATCTGGCAACCGTCAAAATGTTCTCTCCGTCTGTGAGTTTGTTTCTGTTTTGTTCTCTTATTTTTAGATTCCAGATCTAAGTGCAGTCACGTGGTCTTTGTCCTTCTCTGACTTATTTCACTTAGCATGGTGCCCTCTGGGTCCATCCATGTCGTTGCAAATGGTAAGATTTCATTCTTTCCTATGGCTGAGTCATACTGTATCGAATATATGGGACCCCTTTTTTATCCATTCATCTAGTGATGGAAACTTAGGTTGCTGCATATCTTGGCTACTGGCGGTAATGC